TATTGTGTAATTATTCACGACTGTCAAATGGAATACAACGCATTCACGGGAGAAGTACGAAAACTTTAATGTAAATACATACCTTATCTCGGTGTCAAGGGCGGGGAGACAACCGATGACAACCGATTGTCATATTAATAGCTGGACAGCTGATATCGAGAGAGACACGGGTGAGCGCCAACCTAGAGCAAACAGCGGTGCCGTGTCAACTCCCCCCCACCTAATAAACACTTTTACGATTTAATAACAACTATACTATATTACAACGAACTAACAAATAACAAATAACAGCGAGAGACGAACTGTATTACAACGAACTAATAAATAACAGCGAGAAACGAAGCGCGTGTAAGACAGAATGCGTAAGTGATTGACTGATCGACTGGAGCGACGATCTTGCCCTTAAATATNAGCGACGATCTTGCCCTTAAATAGTCAGAGGAATCTTCTAGAGGCGGCGTCGGAACTCTCTAGACATTCGACCGCCACACGCTTATGTAGAGCGACGAATCTTCTAGAGGCGGCGGCGGCCGGACATTCTAGAATATTCGACCGCCACAAGTCTATCTCTTGACCCGGCCGGTTTTGTAAACAAATTATCGCATCATACACGGTAGTTATAAGTAATAAACAATTGTAGACTTACCGCCATGTTCCTTATATGTGTGGATGGTCACTGATATTATGTTTTAAGACTTACCATATTAGACTGAAACCTTCAGTCTCGCTGGCAAGACTGGAAATTCGGTCCGGTCATCCGTAACCTACGGATGACATAAGGACCGAGGAAGTAGAGGAAGGAAACTCCTCGACCGATTACTCAAGACGAGGGGTTTCAGGAGGGGAGTCAGAAGGAAGATGAGGAGAGTCGGTAGCGGATGGGCCCGTCAGGAACGCCTCCACGGCACGACCCAGATCGTCCACGTCCATGGGGCTTGGCCCCGATGTTGTCTCCCCTAGCGTTGGCATGGCTGGCGTTGGCCGTGCGGCGCCGGCCGTCCGAACGATGGCGGACTGGTCCTCGGGGCTGGGGTAGGCGGCGCCGATTCGGATGGTGGACGGACTGCCGCTTCCCTCTCGCGGTCCTTCCGTTCCCTGAAAGCACGGTTAATGCGCTCCCTCCGACGTACGTCGGAGGGAGTGAGCTTCCGGTAGCCCGGGTGAGCCGGTGGTGGCCGGGTGACCGAGCCCGCCCCAGAGGACGTACTGGCCACGTCGGACGCTCGGGACCGGTCGTAGGGTGCAGGAGCGGGGTGCTCAGCGGTCCGACGCCGTCGGCCCGCAGCTCGCTGCACCACCGCGGCAGTGGTCACCAGGCGCTGTGGGAAGGAGGGAGCACCATCTCTCTCACAAAATATTTTTTGTTTATTAGATAAGTGGTGTGCCTTTATAATACACCACGTCTCCGACCGTAAAAGGTTTTACTACGTGTTTCATCGGAACGTTATCTATAATTTTGCCGGCCTGCTGTTTGGGTGATGGGTGGCTATTGTTTACATTGTCGGCAGTCGCCGTGTTTACATGTACGACCGCCCAGTCACCAGGTCGTTTCGCCTCTCGGCCGAGAACGAGTACGGAAGGTGGATAACCAGTTTTTTCATTACGACGATTACGCAACTCAAATAGTATCGACGGTATGATGTGTGTATATGGGGCCGCCTCTCTCCATATACTTATTTTAGCGCCTCTCGTTGGCGCCACATTTACCTGTTATCACATTATAGTTAGAGGAGAGTGTATGTAATGCTTATCAATGAAGCTATTTGATAAAACGTATTTTAGCGCCTCATTTTATACTTGATAACATATTTCACCGCCTCCCTCCGTATACTTGCAAAGTTAAAATTACCCTTCACCCTTCTCCCACCAAATGAGATTTATTATTTCTGTTTCTTAGAATAAACAACCAACCATATTTCAAATCCTTCCCCACCCTCTTCAGAAATATCTATAAATCGAGGTCGAACGTAAGAAAACTCCTACTGTGTTGTCGTATGTCTTAATCGTGTGTGATTAGTGAAATATATTAGTGTGATAAAATTTCAACATTGTAAAATCTAAATGTTTCTCGAAAAATTATCTGTCGATTTCGGGTAAAGTTATTGAAGAACATAGAATGGGACGTGTATCATTGACGGAAGAAAATCTAATTGTTCTGAAAGAAATGAAATCTTGTCTTCTGGAGGTAGCAAAAGAAAGGATTTAGTAATAAATAATGACGCGGTCGCATTGCACTTCCGGCTTTACCGCTGGATGGCGACTGCGACACAGCTACCTCTCCTCGTCCGACAGGTCGCGCGACGCCGAGTGACCGCGGGTGAGGAGAACCGGTCTGGTGATGCAACAAGCATATATTATTATTATAACATCAATTGTGACTATTGTATCTTCCTACTGTGTACTGATATTGTTTGAAAATATATGCTAACATAAAGTTAAACACGGTGTTATTAATTATTATTATTATTAAAATATCAACCTTAACACCTGACCACAACAATAAGTTTTTACTATTACCCGAAAATTTAATGTACTCGATCGTCAAAAATACGGATATATCAGTTATGTCAAAAACATCGACCGCATTGTACAAAGAAATCGTTACTTTCGATTATAAATGTATTATTAAACGTATTTGGGAACAATTCATAGTGGATTTCAAACATCAAACCAATCAGGATATTATGCAAATGACAAATGAAAATATTAGGTAAATACTTTACTTGGTTTGTTTATTGTATAAAACTAAATTAAATTAAAAATTTTTAGAAACAACGATAACGAACCAGATCTTTTGGAAAATCACTTCGAGAATATTTACGATGATGTTGATGATATTCAAAGTTGTAACGGGTTTTTCGAATCAACTGTTTAATAATAGAAAACGACAATATTACTAAAATTATTGTAAAAAGATGAATAATATAACGTATTATAACTCATTTTTAATTGAAAAAAATAAATATTTGTACGTCTAATTGCTGTTTGATTATTATTTAAAAACTTATAATAATCATGTTAAAAATGTTGTACTCACATGGGTTAAATACTACATATAAAACATAAGTTGCTAAAATTATGGTTGTTGTTATTGAGGTGGATGGAACTGTTCATGCACCCAAGTATTAAATAAATTGGGGATAAAACGAAACGTAATAAAAATTCAAAAATATCCGTTAGACTTCATGGAATTCTCTCTAGATGTTTTTTTCTTTTAAACGTCAACAAATTTAAACCAATCACAGTATCATAAGAAAAGCTAAATCATCACTTTGAATTTTACTGTGAGTGTAAAGAGACTGTAGGGTGTTAGTCATTATTTGGAATTGAAACCCACATCATGTCAACACAGGTTCAAAAAATATTAAACAAGAAAACCGATTCACTGTCGGGTATCGAAGAAAAATGTTTTAATAATTTAAGCAGTATAAATATTGAAGAATTCTCACAAGATTTGGTAAAAACTTAAAATATTTCTATTTATATAAATATAATAGAATTAATATATTTTTAATAGACTGAAGAATTATTCCCTGATGTTTGGTTCATGGAAGATTATCCCGTTCAAGTCGAAATAGAATCATCCGATAAATATTCCATAATCGATTGTGCTCAACATCCACCGTGGGCCATGGATATGGTAATTATTTTATTTAAAACACATAATGTTAAAAACAAAAATTTACGTGAAAGGGTTTTTAGAAACTATTTGGTCATGAATCATATGTTGATTCGTTTGTTGAATCGATGGAGAATAATTATATACTCTCTGGCTCACATCCGTGGAAAAATTCATGTATGGAGGAGAATTTGATGGAGTTAATTACTCAAGCAACATGGGAGGATAATGTAAATTCTTTGGTGAAATCTCACTTAGATTCACAACAGTCAGAAAATTCAAACATGGAAGATAGTCTGATGGAGTTAATTGCTCAAGACACATTGGATCATATTGTAAAATCTATAGATGATGATGATGATAAAGAAGAAATAAAACGTAAGTAAAAATCATTTGAGCATTGTAATAAAGATATATTTAAAAAAATATAGTAATAATAATAATAAATAATGTTTGTAATTATAATAATTATAAATTTAGGAAACGTTGAGTGTTGGAACAATGATTTTTACGATGAAAAAAGAGCATTAGAAGTAGATTTAATAACTCTCAAGGCAATGGTAGAGTATGAAAAAAAATTGTTTACAATGATAATTATTTATTTAAAAAATTTAAAAATAATATAATGATTACAATTGTAAATGTTCACAAATTATAATATAACAATTACCATTGTAAATGCATTGATTTGAAATAACATAGATTAAACTACCTTGTGTACTTCACTAGTCATTGCGTTGTACTCGAAAATTTTATCATGTAATATAAGACAATATGCTGACGTATCGTTTGGTATAGGAATCTTGGTTTCGAATTCAATTCGAACGTCTACAGGAGCACTTTTAATTTTTTCATTCTGTTTCGAGCAATCAATGACAACCAAAGGAGCGGTATCTTTGAATTCTTCTTTAGTTAAAATAGGATCACCATTTTCAATATTATAGAAGCTATCTTGAAATGTTGAATACATTTGATATAACGCTGAATATTTATCATTATCAAAATCAATATTTAAACTGTCATATGGATAAGATTCTGAATTTAAAAAAACTTTGAGTGATGTTAGAGAACAGTGGTCGAATCGGCTCATATCTGCAGATATATTGTTTTTACTTTTAGTTTTTAACGCTAAAATCACATATCTAGGTTTTTCAGTATGTGTAGATGTCTTTACGGCCCACGAATGTTTTGTTGTTTGTGGTAAAAATGGATATTCAAATAACTCCCAACTTCTAAAAGCGATGTAAAGTGGTTTACGAGAATCTAACGTCTTCAAAAGTTTCAATCTAACACTATCTTCTACGTTTATGTGTGGCATTCTCCACATTATTTTTGCGATTTTTATTTTACCATTCGCTCGCTCACATTTTAATGCGTTAATATCCACGCTGGATCTATGCAATATAAGTTCTTGCCGAGAATTGATTATAATTTTACGATGATCTTCCGCAAACCCAATGATTAATTTGAGAGGTATACAAACTTCAAATTTCGACTTACTGTCACCACTTTCATTCCATCCAGCGTTTTGATATCGGTAAAGGTTTGCCGTTTGAAAAGAGGCATAACCTTTCATACATGTTGTTATACCAGGGTTTCTTACTTTATCAAGTTCAACCGAGTTTAATTCGTAACGAATTTCATCAAACAGAAACATAATACCGTTGTTAATTAATTTTACAAATGACACACTCTCACCTATTTCCATACTTTTCTCTATTTCGCCTTCGATGTATAGCAGCGATTCACTGGGAAGAGTATACAAATCTTGATGTTGTATCGCAATCCGTATTTCATCGTTATTCGACAGCGCATTACTAGAAAATGGTTGATACGAATGATACTCAAATTTTGTTATACTTTCTTCGAAGTACGGTTTTTCGTGTATGTTCAGAATGTCTTCCATAATGTTTTGCAAGCGTGTAACCAAGGTTCAAGAGAGTATTCAAGCTTTCTCTTGTTAACCCTGGAAGTTTTGAAACATAACTGTTGTCAATGTCGAGAAAACGTTTTCTTTTAACGTTATATTGTATTCCCATAACGTATATGAACACGAACTGTTACACTTTCACCTCTGAAATCGACAAGTTCACCGTTCTGATCTTTAATTTCAATTTTTACGTTATCTATTTGATTAGTCAATACGGGATAATATATTAGATTATTAGGTGATTCTACAATTTTATAGCCAGGAGACACCAAAGGATAAAACTCGTGAATCGAACACGTCTCGCGTCCGTTCACAAATGCGCCATGTACAATATCACACTCTATTCTTATACATGATAACGGGTTAATGTTAGCCATTTGATCCGACTCGTGCACTATACCACCTTCAAACATTCGTTTATTGAATCCCAATAACTCTCCTATGCTATTATTTGCTGTGAAATCTATTGTTTTATCGCAAAACATTTCCGATTTCAATGTATTCACATTGGATTTTAACTTGAAAATAATATGTTTTTTCAATTCGTCCAAGAGATATTTACCTATATCATCTAGTTCGTAAGATCCTATCGGTATTGATAAATCAATAAACGATCCATTAATGGTCATTGAATTCCCGAGATTGTCTGCATCGGTTAAAACACGAAAATAATTATTTTTTCAAGTGCAGTTCCATCTAGTTCAATGGGTGGAAAAAAAGTGCTGATCATTCTAGACTGGTTATCTTGAAAAGATAACGTTAACGACCGTTGCATTGTTCCAGTAAAAATTTCAAACACAATTGTCCACACACAAACGTATCGAACTCTTGTAGACGAGTGTAATTAAATTTTATACGACAATCTTTTAAATAGTTGTGTAATTCTAAAGGCGGTGGTAAATTACCAAACGAATCAAAATAAAATACAGTTTTATTTTTTTTATAATATACTACCCAGTGCGTGCCCAACCCCCACCGATTTTAACTGAGCTTTTTACATTTTTATTTTTTCTTACATCATTCACCGCTTTGATTATATTTGCAGCACCACCGGCTAACAATCCGAGAGCAGAAAGACCTGCGAAAATAGGAATCAAGGGTAACGCTCCACCAAATTTTGGTATTTTTATAGTGCGAGGAGTAATAGTTTTCGAGCCGAGTCTTTGAATGTTTTTATTGCCGCTGCCNTAGGTTTTCGAGCCGAGTCTTTGAATGTTTTTTTTGCCGCTGCAAGTGCAATGATACTCGCTTTCTTTGCACTTTTACCCTTCATTTTACGCATCGCTTTTCGACTCGAACTGACAATCGAGTTGAAATTTATTCCCATTCCGAGTTTACGTTTCGCTTTCATTATATTGGTAGTTGCGTATGCCGCTACTTTTTCTCCGAACGTACTGTCTTTTGCCTTAACACGTTCCCAAGCTCGGTTTTGTAAAATGTAATCGGCTTTATGTCGATTTTTAATATCCTTATATTTGCTGTATGCTATATCGTGATCACGAGCTGCTGAATCCAACGGATTTTTTCCGGGATCGCCACGAGCCAATCGTTTTTCCAATCGCGTACCGGGTCCTAGGTATTTATACGTTGGCCAATGAACTTCTACAGGGAGATTATTTATAAGAGAATTAACTAAACCGTAACCGCGTTTATTATTGTTTGATCGTCGATGTCGAATCATCGTTTAAAACAGTGGATGTTTTGTATCAATCTTTTATACGTGATGTTTTTCGAAGTACAAACGTGTAAGTTACCTGTTTCCAACATCGATTTGAATAAATCTGAATCGAAACGAATGAAACACGGACCCTTGCTACCCGATAATATACGTTGTATAATTTTCGGACCATCCAATTGTGGTAAAACAAACGTAATGTTTAATTTACTGACGGAAGAAAACGGGTTAAAATTTGAAAACATATACCTCTATACAAAAACTCCGGATCAACGCAAGTATAAAATTTTAGAGAATATTATCAATGACGTAAAAGGGATATATATAAACGTTTACACCGATAACGATCAAGTAATACCACCGGAAACAACAACTTTTAATTTTATATTTATATTTGACGATGTCGTATGTTAAAACTATACTAAATCTTTTTTGTGTATCCAACTGCTTTTTTTTAAACCATTCCATTTCACCAAATAATTATAATTTTTACGACGTAAAATTTTTTCTATCAGAAACGTATTTGAAAAATTTGTTTTTTTCAACTCCTCCCGGTAGAACGTTCCGTTAATTTGCGTACAGTCTTCATCTTTCAGCACATATACAACGGGCACTGTTTGTTTTATTTTATCTATGAAAAATATTTCATTAATTCTGTGTATATCCTTTAACGAAAGCGGCTTTATTTTTACTTATACGTACTGCGTCACCAATATTTAATATTTTTCGTGTAATGTTAGAATAATTCGGTAAACGATAAAACCGTACGCTATCGGGTTGTTTGGATGCTTGCGCTGGTGTTTGACGAATTGCCGAATGAATAGCATTGTTATAATCATTTGTTATTTTTTGTAATATACTCAACCATTGATAAGATCTCGAAGCTGTAAATTTTTTCCACATGCGTTCTTTAAGCGTACGGTTAAAACGTTCGATTACGGATGCCTTCACTGCAGAATATGTAGGGAAATGATGAACACCTCTCTTTATTAGAAAAGTTTTCATCTCTTTATTGAAAAATTCTAAACCTCTGTCTGTCGTTAAATACAATGGACATCTATTACAATTACTTATTATTGATTTAAACGCTGCTGTTACTGCTCTACCAGTTTTACTTTTTAATGGTACACACCATGCGTATTTTGTATACACGTCTATTACAGTGAGAATAAAAGTATAGTTTTTATTCTTGCTAGAATACTTTTTCATATCGACGAGATCCGCTTGCCACGTGTTGTCTTTGGTATAAGGTGTCACGATGCGTCTGGGAAATTTCTTTTTAGCTTGCGCATGTAACTCCTCTGCTATTTGGTCACCAACGGTTTTCATTCTATCACTCCGTTTTCTCTAAGTTCTTCTTCCAGGGATATTATTTCGTTATACACACCCGTATTACCTGCACGCTTTGACGCGTGTAGAATAGATAGTCGCTGCACTAATTCGTTTATATCGTCCCAGTATATGTATTCTTTTCGTTTATTTGTTACAGATAAAAACGGTAGTCCGCCACCAAACTTTTCGTTTTCGCTTGGTTGCCGTCCGTTAAATAACTGTTTTATTATGTTTTTATATTTATATCCTTTATTCGTTTTCAGTTTTCCGTTAATGTTTCTGTGTACTCTAGTGTGTATGAGACAGTTTTTATACGTTAACATATCATCAGATGTAATTAAATCGACGTTGGGTATCTTTTTAAATAACAATTCGTGTAATCCTTTCGTCAGTGGTACTTGTTTTAGAGCACCAACTTTTATGTTACCCATATGTTCATCGATAATTACCATTTTATCACCCATTTTAAAGTCTCCGTCATCCGTAACGGTTACACCGTAGACCGCATCAAAGTTTGATTGTTGTTGTTGTAACGGTTTAGACAGCACGATTGTTTGATTTTTACCAATATCATCGTATTCCTCACCATCGTAT